TATCAGTTCTGTAATTTAATAAAATCTCAGACCAACAGGACTTAATTAGAATACTTGGATTCATGTGGGTTTTAATAGCTCTCCATAAAAATCACTTCCCTGAAATTATATCTTCAACGAACTGTTTCTGAAAGAATCTAGTAAGCTGGCATAGGCCTTTCTTTTCTAAACAGAAAACTATCTTTTGGAGGGGAAATTATAATTAGCGCTGTAAATTTTATTTATCATCCATTGTGCTCATTAAATCCACTCAACTAGGCCAAAATGACATCAAATACACCATTCGCTGACAAAATTTTAGTCAATGTCGCACTAAAGTTCAATGCTATGTGACCTAATCTGTCATCAGTATATAGTGGTAATTTGTTATATCCCCCAATCCTTTTAAGCTCAAACAGGTCTCAGTTTTCATCCTGTTCCAGGAAACAGATATTTTGGTTAATTTTCATTTGTCACAAAAGTACTTTCTTTTGGCCTAGTCTCCAAAGTGAACTAAAAGCCTGTACAACTAGCTATGTCACACAATTCCAAAACTGGAATGTCATTATTTTAATGTTTATTTATTTTGAGAGAGAGAGCGAGAGAGAGCGAGCGCACGAGCATGAGAAGGGAAGAGGGGCAAAGGGAGAGAGAGAATTGCAAGCAGGCTCAAAGGTGTCGGTGCAGAGCCCAACATGGGGCTCAATCCCATGAACTATGAGATCATGACCTAAGCTGAAATCAGAGAGTCAGACGCTTAACCAAATGAATCTCCTAGGTGCCCCCCAAGACAACTAGTTCTTAATGTGGTATCATTTTCCAAGTGTAAATGTAAACCTGAAATATAAACCTGAAAACACATTCAATATATAGATCAGTTTTCTTCATTTTGGTTGAGAAAATGGTTGTTCTGCTTAATCAGTTATTACAGTTAGTACAGGGTGGGCGTAATCATCAGATGGCCTAAAAGGGGACTCCAAAATAGATTTACTCCGAGGGGGAGAAGGGTCATGATGATAACAATATTTCATTGTTTCCTTTTTTGTCATTTAAATCGTGAATCATAGAGTCTATTACCTAATCAAATAATATTTGCTGGTCCAATACTCACACTCTTACACATGACATTTTTTATATCAGCTTCCCATGGCCAGTGTATCCCTTGCTATCATAATTAGTTTCTGAATTCAGAGAACGAGTTCAGGGTGCGAAGGACACCTGAAAATCTCTCAGACTTAACCTCTGTGTCAGAATGGGAGTCAGCCCACAAATGGGAGTCAACATTCACGAGTCATATACGCAGAATGTGTAAAGAACCCTGAAAACTGAGCAACAAAAAAAGAGAACAATTCAGAAAGCACTGTGCCAATTCACAGCAGCCGCATCCGAGGGCGCTGGTTTCGCCTGGGTTCCTGCCTGCTCTCAATCAGCAGTGCTGGTGGTGGGATGAAACTGTTCGGTTCGGCCAAATTGGCCAAATTGGCAATACAGAAAGGTACGTGTCAGAACTAATTAAAAACAAACCAAGTCCACAGCATGATATGTCAGTTATATCTTAAAAATATGTATTAAATTAAAAAACTATATTGAATAAGTACATCAAATAAAAACAAAATTAGGACCCTTACAAACTGCAATATAACTTTAAATAAAAGGCATTAAAGCATCATCCTCTAATATTTTCTCAAAAGAATAAACTAAACTTCAAACCCCAGTTATTAGTGTGTCAGTTCGGGGCGCCTGGGGGGCTCAAGTCGGGTTAAACGTCCGACTTTGGCTCAGGTCATGATCTCACGGTTCGTGAGTTCGAGCCCCGCATCGGGCTCTGTGCTGCCAGCTCAGAGCCTGGAGCCTATTTGAATTCTGTGTCTCCCTCTCTCCCTCTCACTGCCCTTCCGTGGCTCTCACTGTCTCTCTCAAAAATAAACAAACACTAAAAAAAAAATTTTTTTTAATGTGCCAGTTCCTAAACAGGGAATTGCAAGTTTTAAAAAATTAAGTGACATATTTGAATCCTTTTAAATATTAGAGTCCATGAGTGAACTACTAGAAATTTAACAGTATGTCTCATGTTCAAGAAAAGCGAAAATCTCACTCATGGAACAGAACTTGGGTTTTCCTTTTAAAAATTACATAGTTAAAAAATTATAGGGGCGCCTGGGTGGCTTAGTCGGTTAAGCGTCCGACTTTCGCTCAGGTCATGATCTCGCGGTTCGTGGGTTCGAGCCCCACGTCGGGCTCTGTGCTGACTGCCAGCTCAGAGCCTGGAGCCTATTTCGGAGTCTGTATCTCCCTCTCTCTCTGACCCTCCCCTGCTCACGCTGTCTCTCTTTCTCTCTCCTAGAAATAAAAAAAAAAAAATTACATAAACAGTTAACAACCATTCAGTACTAATCATGACAACAAATAACTTATTTTTTCAGAGACTCTTGTTTTTGCTCCCTGAACAGTGCTAAAAGAAAAATTCTTTTAAGAGATAAAATATATGATCTGTATTTGTGTTTATTAGAAATTTAAAGGCTAATATTTGCGCTATAAGCAGCACTGAAAAAACTCAACTACTTTTGAAGAATCAGGGGGTAAATGTTTTGGCTGTGTTTGGTAAAGCCTTGTTTTAAAAAATAAATAAAGCAGAGCCCTTCAGCTTCCTTAAGACTACCAAAGTGCCTCCTAATGGTCTATTCTGTCCTTGGCCAAGGATGCTTAATTTTTTTTTTTGGAGTCACAAACTCTCTAAGAAGCTGGTGAGAGCTACGTAAAAAATGCACCCAGACACACACACCCAACACACCCTCCCAGGGATCAAGGGTTGTGAAGTCCTACATTAGGCCATAAAAAGGAAAAGAAAACATTTCCAAGAACCTATCACATGCTAGATAGTTTATATAAAGTCAATTCTTCATATAATCATTTAATCATATAATCATTTATAATCCCGCATTATAAATGAGAAGACCAAGGCTGAGTAAGAGAAATCAAACTGCCTGTGTATAGTTTGTTTTTGTTTTTTTTGATTTTTAACGTTTATTTATTTTTGAGAGACAGAGCATGAACAAGGGAGGGACAGAGCGAGAGGGAGACACAGAATCCAAAGGACGCTCCAGACTCTGAGCTGGCAGCACAGAGCCTGATCCAGGGCTCAAACTCACGGGCCACGAGATCATGACATGAGCCAAAGTCAGAAGTTTAACCAACTGAGCCACCCAGGCACCCCTGGCTGTGTATAGTTTTTAACCCAGGATTAAAATGTGGTTCTGATTCCACAACCCATGCTCTTTCCATTACTTGTGAAGAACTAATTCAGAGGTTACTAATATGTTCGACATCCTATGCTAAAATAACTTCGAAAAGCAAACACCTACACATCACTAGCAGTGCTACCTTCCCTCGGAAACCACAGACTATGTTCTACTACAAACAAGATATGTGGATATAAACTACCCGTATACTGAGAGTAAACACGCGCTGTGGGTGAAGTCACCTCAGTACAAAACCTCATCATTAGCATGGACTATTAAACAAAACAAACTATAGAAAGATTACTCAAGACAATCATCCCAGAGGCTTTTACAAGTTAGCTGCACAAGATAAGCTCTAACACAATTTCAAATAAAAAGGGCTGGATAAAAATCTTTTTTCAATCAACCTTATAAAAATCCTTGAGGTCAGCAGAAACAGGTAACATCTCCATTTCAGAGATGAGAAAAATAAGGCTCAGGATAGGTTAATCAACTTAGCTAAGATTCACCCAGTTCATTTTTTTTTTTCAAGAACTGGTACAATACCCATTACTCCTGACTTATAATCTTAACTCATTCACAGTTGATTTTGTCAACACAATATCCTAAGTTTCCTTATATGTCTGTGATCTTTGAAGAACAGCAACTATTAAAACTTTCTGGATGCCATAGCAATTTGGAGAAGAACAAAGAGCCTGAATCATTATGGCTTCTGGTAACATGTAGGAAGCACGTGAATTTGATGTTAAGAAATTAACAGTGAAAATCAAGTTATTTCACAGGGTCAGGACTATTCCAAAATTTTAGCCAAAATGGTAAGCCAATTCCTTCTACCTACATCTACTATTTTACTTATGTATGCATATCACTTGAATATGCATGTGGGCATATATATTATAGTGCTGACCGCCTGAAATCAGACACTGCATGAAATGGGTAGAACCTGAGGTCAACACGTGACCTAAAACAAATGTAATATCTTTACGAGACAGAATAAGCAGAATTAAGATAAATTAGTTATTATATTTGGATAGCTAATGGGAAAGAGGGGACAATTTTTACCACATCAGCTTGCTATTTTAGGAGTGACAGGAACTAATCCTTGTGTTAAAAAATCCATTTTACAAAAGCTTTCAACATGTTAGTGAACTGGATCCATACAACCCTCAAGAGGCAGGCAGTATGGGGGGCGCCTGGGTGGCTTAATCGGTTAAGCGTCCGACTTTCACTTAGGTCATTATCTCGCGGTTCGTGGGTTCGAGCCCCGCGTCGGGCTCTGTGCTGACTGCCAGCTCAGAGCCTGGAGCCTGTTTCAGAGTCTGTGACTCCCTCTCTCTCTGACCCTCCCCTGCTCACGCTGCCTCTCTATCTCCTAGGAAAAAAAAAAAAAAAAAAAACCATTAAAAAAAAAGAGGCAGGCGGTATGGAAATCATTTAACCACCGAACCTCGATTTCTTCCCTGTTACTCTGTCTATAGTCACACTGTTAGTAAGCAGGAAGGCAAGATTCAAATCTAGGTTTCCTAGTACAAACCCAACGTCCTTTCCACTAGGCCATGCAGGAGTAACGATGGGGGTGCAGCCAATTCACAACATTTGCCCTACAAATACATAGTTACACTACCATCGACACCCCAACAAGCCTCAAAGTCTATTTTAGTGTAACAGAACAGACTATTTAGTAATAAGAATAGAGGTGACAATCAAACTTCCTGGGGTCAGTATGAGGGCAGAGGAGGCAGGTCTTGCCAGGGACCACATGTGGCTGGGAGGCGGACTCACCCGTTTCGAAGGACAGTGCTCGTTCTTCTCATCAGTCATCTTCCCACTGCGAAGTGCCTTCCTTGGGTGCTTGACAGTGGTCTTTATGGCAGGTCGACATACATAGTTCTCCAAGTTCTTTGGAGGCTTTTTAGTTCTCTTAGCCTGAAGGCCAATTTTCAATTTCAAGTTTCCCTCGGAAAAGTTTGTTTCTTTCACTGAGAACTGTTGCTGTGCATCAGTCAAACCATCCTCTTTGCCTGCCTCACTGTTTCTTTCCCGGTTCCACTTGCGAAGGTCCTCTTCCTCCTTCGCGCTGCTCTCTCGCTCTCCTTCTCTCTTGCTCACTGTGCCAGTGCCGATGGCAGAGGGACTCTTCCTTGAAAATCCTTCCGAGTCAGAACCCAATCCTAACATAGCAGTATTTCTAGGGTCCATCACAAGTGTATGTTATTGCCAAGGAAGCTTATGAAAGGTTTACAGAACTGTGTTCCATAAAAAACAGGGATCTCCAAAACTTGCCACCAGCATCTCTCTCTCTGCAGGACAGACCATAATAAAAATTCATCAGAACAGAGGCAACTATTGATTAACGGGAAAAATGGGTAATGGGGGAGAGGGACGAGGAGGTCAGGAAGAAGCCCAAATCACAGTTAAGACCAACCAAAATGCAGTACAAAATGCATTTAAAGTAATTTAGTTATAATTTTAAATTTTTAGAATAAGCTTATTACTCCACAGGTACCACACACAGCAGCTGTGCTGCACGTCGTGGGTTGGCCTCAGGGCTCCAGCCTTTTGTAAGAGGCTTCAGGCTTTTCAAAGACTCAGGACTCTTAGGTTGAAATTATCTTTGCTGCTGGTGTACAATTCATTCTAAATTCATTCACTCATTCAAAAATATTTCTGAGCTCCTCTCATGTGCCAGGCATTGTGCAATAACCTGGAAATACAGTCCTCAAGAGAGCAGATCCAGCTCCTAAATTTACAAGCCTTATACTCTACTGAGAAAGACAAAATTCAACAATTACATAAATGATTTATAACAATTGTTATAAAAACTTTGAAAACCAGATATTTAATTTTATAAGTTTTCCTAATAGCAAATAGTCAGTTGGCATGCCTTAATTCCCCAAATCCATAAAATATTTTTTCCAAATCCATAAAATGTTTTTTTAAATAAAAAAAATTAATGTTTATTTCCTTTGTGAGAGACAGAGAGAGAGCAAGAGACAGAGAGCGAGTGGGGAAGGGGCAGAGAGAGAAAGGGAGAAACAAAATCCAAAGCAGTCTCCAGACTCTGTCAGCAGAGAGCCTAACGTGGGGAGAAGAGGGGGGCGGGGGGTCAAATCCACAGACCGTGAGATCATGACCTGAGCTGAAGTCAGGTGCTCAACCGACTGAGCCACCCAGGTCCCCCATAAAATATGTTTAAATCAGCATGCCAAATTATTATTTTACAACAGATGAACACCCTACCTGAGAATCTGAATAGTCTACCCAGGGCAACCCCCTTCTCATAGATAGTAAGCCTCATGGAACCAGATTACCATACAACCAAAAGTCTAATGAACACAAAGCCAAAACAATTCACTATTTTTGAGGATCGATAGACTATATATATAAACACATATCTAAATCCAGATCCAGAATGAGTATCTAAATAAAGAACACCCTATGCCTTAGAACATTCCATTGACGAAGTAGAATATTTCACAGTTTAAATTAGGTACTTAAGACTTTTCTTTCCAACAAGATTAAAAGATTCTCAAGGATGAAGATCACAGAACGATTTCCCAACTCCTACCGGGAATGCAAGTCAAATGCACAGCCCAGTGACTGGGGACACAGCAAGGGTTCAACAGAAGGTGTCAACAATTATTCCTAGTAACAGCAGGGGCAGCACCATTTCAGTACTTAACAAATACAGGCCAACTGACTGGTCTCTTCTGTTTGTTCTTACCGCTCACTCACAGCAGAGGCCTCAAGGGGATCTTCCAGTCAGTTCCCTGGACACCTCCTGCAGTCTACCACTTCAGAGGTTAACCCTTCACAAGAGCTTCGAGACCTTCATGATCAGCCTAAAACTATTCAACTTGCCTATCCCTATGATTTAGCCCATTCAGTTTTCCTTACTGTCCCTAACAAGCCATGTTCATTTCTGCTTCTGTACCATGTGCTTGCTTTCCCTCTAGAAGTACAAAGTCCTATCTTTTCCGTGACGAGTTCACAATTCTGAAATTTAACTCAGGATCACAAGCTTTCTCATAAGCTCACTAGTGACAAAACCCGACCAGACCTGATCTGGATCCACTTTGGCCTTAATTACCACAATTTTTGTGAGCAGTCATACATTTCAATGCAGAAGTATTAATGTGCCTGATTAAGGAGCACTGTTCTACACACCACAGTGGAGTAACCCAATCTACAGTCATCTTCCTAAAAGCAAAAAACAAACTTTTGGATGATGGTTTGTGGACTTATGTTCTCACACTTACATTTACGCTTGCACTGACCTGATCCTTCCCTAAATACTTATTATCCATATAGGATCACACTTTGAATAATTCACTTTTTTCCCCTGCTTCACCAGAGTTTCGGTGTAAACTTTACAAGGGCAGGGACCTCTTCTGGCTAGTTCCCCACTATGTCCCCGGCACCTGGAACAGTGCACAGCATCTACCTTAGTACCCAATAAATAGGTGAAGGGATGATGAATTTTAAGGCCCCTGTAGCTTCTAACATAATGTCTGGCACGTAGAAAATGCTCTCTTTTTTTTTTTTAATAGGAATTCCTCTTATAATTATAACAAAAGTCCTATATACAAGTTTGTTCTTATATGTTTATTATATGTATCCCATAGAGGTAGATTTCTATACAGGTACTACAATTTTGAGCACAAGTAGTGGTTCAAAATTATACCTCAAAATTGTATCTTAATCTCTTTTGTCTCTGGGCCATCCAAGCTGGTCTAGGAAAACCACGCTCACTCATCACTTGACACTCCTGAGCACTAACTCCACTAGTGCCTTGGTGCAGCAGCCTGTTTCCCACACCCTCCATCTCTGACACAACGTCCTCAAGGCCTCCCCACCCTCACGGGCTTTGCGTCCCATCTAATGATGGTAGAAGAAAAGGAAGAAAAGTGCCAGAAGCTCCCACCATACTGCATACCCACTTCCTGTGTCTGCTCCCTTAAGATTCTGCCTTCCCCCCTATCATAATATACTCCAAGCCCTCCACTTGAGCACAGAATCCCACTCTCACCGCCTTCTCAAGAGCGTTATTAGGGCAACTATCCTTTCTCCGCTGCATCATCTATGCCTCACACTCCTCCTGTGGCCCAAGCCCATCAGGATGAAAACATACTACAATATTTCTCATCTAAGAAATCCACTCTTGACCTCATATCCCCCACCAGCTTCCCATGCCTCTGTTCCCTACAACCCTTTTTCAAAGGGTGGTCCAGACTCCCCGTCTCCAGATCCTCCACTCTTCTCTGCAGTGCCCCAACCATACTCTCACCACTACCTCTCCACAGAAACCGCTGGTCAAGGTCACCAATGTGCTCCACACTGCTAAGTACACTCATCAGTTCTTGGTCCTCTAGCCTACCTATCAACAAAATGTGACTTCTGGGACCCCTCTCTGTATTCAACCTCAGTCTCCTTTGCCAGTTTCTTCTTTTCTCCCTCAACATTAAACACCGGAACACCCCAGGCCATGCTCACTCTTCCCTTCTCTATCTACACCCACCTGCTAAATGACCAAATCTAATCTTTGGTTTTAAATTCCACCTAACACTGTTGATTAACAGATCTTTATTTTTAAGGCATATTTATTTTGAGAGAGAGAGAGAGAGAGAACGAACCAAGCAGGCTCCGCATTGACAGTGGGGAGGCTCAAAACCAGGAACCTTAAAACGACTTGAGCCAAAATCAGGAGTCGGACACACAAGCGACTGAGCTACCCAGGTGCCCCAATTCACAAATTTCTATCTCCAGACAGAGGCCAGGTGAGACATCTTCCTCTAACTCCAGACTCATGGATCTAAACACCTACCTGCCACACTGCCTAACAGGCCCTGCAAGCCTAGCATATCTAAAAGCAATTCACCTTCACCCTCACGTCCCCTCCATCTGTTCTTTCCAGTCTTCCTCATCTCAAGAAACAGAACTCCAGCTAGAAATAGACTAAAAATTCCCAATCATCCTTGATTCCTTTTTCTAATGCCCCACGTGACCATTCAGTTGGCAAAGTCTTTTTCACCTTCGAAATACTTGTAGAATCTATTTCTCATTAATTTGACAGCTATCAATCAGATCCAAGTGATAGCCAACCTGGACTATTGCAAAAGTCATTTAATTGGCTCCATCCTTCAGCCCGATGTAACTTTTTACAGTCTTCTCAACTCAGGAGCAGGGTGATCCTTTTAAAGCCTGGTCAGATCATGTCACTCCCCTTTCAACTGCTTCCCAGCTCATTCAAAGTGGAACCAAAGTCCTTACAAGGGTCTAAAGGCCCTGTTTACTCTGCTATACAAAACCCTCTACTTCTCTTCCATCTCTTATCAACCTCTGAACTTAGTTCCGAGAAGGGGGGACACAGGTCTCCTTCTCCTATTTCTCAAAAAATGAAACAAAAAAACCCACCAAAAAAACCCAAAAAACCCCAACAAACCACACACACACACACACACACCCCAAAAACAAAACCAAACTACTCCTATCGCAGGGCCCTTGCATTTGTTATTCTGTCTGATTAAAACACTCTTTCCCGAGATAACTGCATAGTTTGCTCTTTCAAGTATTTCACGTCTTTGCCTAAACGTAACCTTACAGAACAGGTGCTCCCTGACAATCCTCTATTAAACAGAAGAACACACACCACCCTCTTCTAACATTCGGTCCTGTTTTCTGTTTCTCCACCACCCTCCTCACTGCCTGCTGTACAATGCATTTCTTTACTGTTGATGTCTTTCCACTGGAATGTCAGGTCCATCAGGAAACAGATTTTTCTCAGTTTTGTCAGTTTAGTTCAATGTGATGTCCTACACCCAGAACCGTACCTGGTATATAAGAGGTGTTCAATAAACATCTGTGTTAACTACATGACTTATATAGGACATATCTTATGGCTTTAATTTGCTCCTTTTCTAGTTCTTTTTCTCACTTCTTTTTTTTTTTTTTTAAATGTTTATTTATTTTGCAGGTAGGGGAGGGGCAGAGAGACAGGGAAACAGAGGATCCAAAGCAGGCTCCAGGCTCTGAGCTGTCAACGCAGAGCTCAACATGGGGCTCGATCCCACAAACCATGAGGTCAGGTGAGCTGACACCAAGAGCTGGATACTTATCCAGCTGAGCCACCCAGGCAGCCGTGTTGTTGTTGAAGTCTTGTTTCTTAATTTTTAATACCCATCCTGGGTTTCATGTTACTAGTGAACCTGCCATATAGCTTTTTCGTTACTTACGAAACCAAATGTTCTAGAACAAAAGTAATGTACATCAAACAACTATTTTTATATTCACTACTCACAAG